ATGTATATTGGACTTTTTCGATTGAAATGCATTTTTAATAATATACTACTCTCGTGGTTAAAATAGTGACCAATGAAATAAGAAAAACTAGTAAATAATGTTAAGAAGTTTGTTATTTCTTCCGCACGTGTCTAAAATGGTTATGAGTAATATTAGAAACGTAATAATTTTGAGGTCAGAAATCCCCATCAGAGAAAAACTAATCAATGAATAATAACAATATCTTGACTAATTAGCATGCTTTCATAATTACTCTGTTTTCTATGATGTAACACGTGATCAATATAACATGACCGATGGACAATAGTCTGAGGTATAGAATCCACGGGATCTGTTATGAAGGTTAATCAACATGGTTATACCATTGGATCTATTTTAAGGACAAACATGAATTCTTAAAGGGATATTACCGTAGACTGACAAAAGCATCCTTAAAGCAACACAGTGTATTTTGATTTAATCAAATTAAGCTCGTTCTCCTGGAAAAGCAGATATTTCAACAACTTTATGAATACTACCTCTTGGACTGGACATCAAAATTTATAGTCTCAAACTTGGCCAGTAAGTGTATGAATTCATCAGTTGGACTCACCAGGTGCCATGACTAAAGAAGACGATGTATCCATTGAACTAAATAATGATTGAAAAACGCTTCTAAGCATGTTTCAAAATTACTTTGAATTATTACTTAGTTTTATGATTGATTGGATTATAGAGGGATTCTGTTATATAGTTAGCTCACCTGAAGATGACAATGTAGATTGTTGAAACGTCGTGTGTAATAAAACTAAGGAGTAGTATACCATAAAATTGTGTTTCGTTATTTAATGTGATCTCTAACCCTAAATGTCGCTAAAGGATTATTTAGTTATGAAATCAGATAATTTCACTGATGAACAAAGACTCGTGTTAAGGACGTTTAAAAATTTCAATATTTTGTACAACCTTAGAGGTAGCATACCTTTAATTCATAGAATGTTCTCTCTCATATTGTACCCGGTCGAGGTATACTCTTTGATTTTCAACCTGCGTTCCCCCTATCACCGCTCTTCTGTATGTGCTGAAACCAGTGGTAAACAAGTTTTTGACAGAAGTCATAGAATCATGGATCTCTTTACTCAGCTTCGTCGATATTATTATTATGGAAGTGGACAATATGCATGGCAATGACTAAAGAACATCGTCTCTTGAATAAGACGGTGACCAAGGAAATTCTTCTTAGTTTTATGTGTGACTCTGTGGTAATTTGTAATGAGTTTTATGTCTTACTGTACTGTGTTTTATAAGCCTGGACAGTAACAATTACCCTATATTCTGTTAAGGATGGGAAATCTAATGGATTAAAGTTTTATGTAGAGTATTTTTGTAACTTGTTATATTGAATACAAGACGACTCGGACCAACTTTCAACTTTGCTTGGCAGATTGACGACTACATTCATGTTTTCTGTACTGTATTCTAAACCCTACGTTAAGACATCAGTGCTTTTAGTTTCAAGTATGTATACGAAGGGCCCAACTTTAAGAATTCGGTGATTTTAGTATAAAGCATTTAAGTGTCAGACCCAACTTTACGAATTCAGTGCTTTATGTAGGTGTCAGACCCAACTTTAAGAATTCAGTTCTTTATGTTGGTGTCAGACCCAACTTTAAGAATTCAGTCCTTTATGTTGGTGTCACACCCAACTTTATGAATTCAGTGTTTTTAGTAGTGTAAGAACCCAACTTTAAGAATTCCATGTTTTTAGTATGAAGTATGTAAATGAAGGACCCCAACTTTAAGAATTCGGTGTTTTTGGTATGAAGTATGTAAATGAAGGACCCCAACATTAAGAATTCCATGTTTTTAGTATGAAGTATGTAAATGAAGGACCCCAACTTTAAGAATTCCATGTTTTTAGTATGAAGTATGTAATTGAAGGACCCCAACTTTAAGAATTCCATGTTTTTAGTATGAAGTATGTAATTGAAGGACCCCAACTTTAAGAATTTCATGTTTTTAGTATGAAGTATGTAAATGAAGGACCCCAACTTTAAGAATTCAATGTTTTTAGTTAAGAGGAATCCCAACTTGAAGTATTTCTGATAAAGAATGAAAGTGTAAGAGTGATTGGGTAAAGTTTCATGTTTTACGATATCATCACGAAGTAACTTGATACCAGTCTACAGCCAGCCTCGCTAACTGGTGTGATATTAACCATGTTGTACCGAAATCTAACACTCGTAGCTTACATTCCAGCTTCCGTTCTTCAGGCACAAAAGGTTAATCTACGTTGTTTTCGTGGGAGATTTTGACTTGATGTTATTTCACAATTTGTTATGGCTTTATATTTGGACCATTGGTAAGTTTCGTTTGAGAGGATGTTTATTTTCAATGAGTGAGCGTTACATTACATCCTCTGTAATGGCTCATTTTAGTAATAAGTCTGTGTTTCAGTGAAATGTTATAACTTAATGACAACATTCGTTTGAAAATGGATAGATTCATTCTTTTGTATTTATGATTGTTCGATATATGGTGTGTTTGTTTTTACGGTAACAGAAGATAAAGACAGCTTTAAAGGGGGATGTTTTGATGTGAAATCGTGGGGGAGAACTGCTCCGCTCTTTTGGATTGTTGATTTGTAGCTAGGTCATACGGATCTAGTCACTCAGATGAATACGTCCTTTTAACAGTGAAAATGTCACTGTATTTTACTTTGTCTTGTTGATTTTGTAATTTTCGACATCTCCAGTGAATTGTAAGTACTCTAATAATAAGGAGTATATCGGGTTTTGGAACCACAACATTTGACGTTTTGATAGTAAGGATACTTATGAAGTGACACGACACTAATTTGCATATCATGCAAAAAGACTTTTTAACCCGAAATGAGATTTTGAGCTAGTTTTAGTATAAGAATATTTAAAGGGATTGTTAAGAGGTTTTCTAAAATTTTCATCTGTATCAGGGACACTGATAGCATTTATTTGGCCCATTCAGATTTTTAAGTCAGATGTCTGTGGCTTCTGACATTATACTAAATCTAAACGTTTTTTGACGTCACTAATCGCGAAGTCCTTATCTAATAAAGCCATATACATCTATGAATAAAGCATAGTTTGCAATTAGTGACGTCATCAAACACTTGGGTTTAGTAGAATTGCAGGAACCACAGACGTCTGATTGAAAATCAGAATGGTGCCACTTGATGCTATCAGTGTCCCTTATTCAAATCAAAAGTTTAGAAAACCTCTTTACAATCCCTGTAAGGAGTACTTTCTGAGAAGCATTGTCGTGGAAGTCATGGGTATTGGGGAGAAGTTCTATTTGAATTTAATCCAAATGGTGTATATGAATATCCAATAAAACAGATCCAATCAACTATAGAATATAGAAATATAAAATAGATAGGCATGAGCTTGTTACTGATGTTTAGTCATTGAAACGATTGGTTCCAGTGATAAATTATACGAGTAAGGAATAGAGATATATTTAAACCGGTTAATATTTTAATGTAATTGATTTTGTTTGTGCTCAGTCTGATCCGATATAAAATTACCAGTAAAATTAAATGTAAAAACATAATACACATTTTACCAGGTCTAGTTATTTCAATAAAATGAATTGTTTCTATTTTGCTGCTGCTGATGTGGCTAATTTCCTTGAGTAGCATTTAGTAACTGGGGTATAAATAACTGGACACAATTATATAGATAACCAGCAATGATTGATAAAGGCGAATGAATCATCGTCGAAACGTCGCAAGTTATTTATTAAAGTAATAGTTATCCATTGTGTCCAGCTATAGATATGGTTTATGAAGAATTTGATCATACATTGTTAATTGAGGGACTTTTTACACTCCACTTATCCCATGTGACTTGATGACGAGTGTCAAAGCCATGCAGTGTGCACTGAGGAAATTGATGCCACATACTGACATAAGCCTTCTCTTTTTCGATTCGAAAATTTTATTTGAGTATTTCAACAATTTTAATCAAAAAGAAAATTTCTCGAGATTTGATGGTAAACTGATCCAATCACAATGCAGATCTCTTTTTTTCAAAACTCCATATCAATCTTTCATAAGTGTTATATTTCTTATTGTTTACAAAATGACTAATGTTTATCGTAAGAGTTTTTGATCCATTGTAGATTTTGCAACGAAGGTGTGAATAGAGATTGAGCCTAATTTGTGAACGACATTAACAAAAATTGAACACGGGCCAAGACTACGTGAAAAGTTTGAAGCTTAACGTTTGAACGAGATTAAAAATAATTTACATGGGCCAAGGTTAGTTGCGATCAGAAATCGTCGATTGTGAACAATGCTGAGCGAGAACATGTCGACACCTGTCTGAACTCACTGACCGTAACGATCATTTCATTGTATCCTATCGGGGATTGCAATACTTTACTGAATAACAATAAAATATAAAGGTGTATATATGATTATATATGTAGTTTGTATTAGTTTGGGTAAATTAGTAGGTCTAATGTAGAGATTGAAAGAAGGTATTTTACACAAAGTTTCAGTTTTTGTTTTACATGGTGCACAAAGTAGGACGTAAAACTCCATTCATTTCATTTTCAGTTTTTGTTTTGAAGAATGTGACAACTTTTGAACCGCTATAAGTTGTATATATCAGTGATAATAATAAACTATATAGAGACAGTTGGTTGGGCGTCTTCGGAGGACTCGGTCATTGTGAATAGGTGAATAGGTATGGCTGTTCTGGTAGAAATTTCAGTCTTACAGAGCATGACATTGCCCTTTTTCACCAGGTCATATCACTCATTCATTCCGTGTATTGAAAGTGTTTAGTGACAGTTTAAACTATATCATTAATATTATGTCTGAAGATAGTCTAATGTATTGCCTTTTTTCTATTTCAGAATTGTTTAACAGATGAAGTAAGATCATCCGGAAAAATGATGTTGGATTATCATTCCATTAACTTTAGAAACTAGTTAAAAATTTACAAACCAAGACAGAATCTGTGATAAAAATGCTCAATATGACGCTCTTTCCTCAAACGCGGCTCGTCCGGAAAAGTGGGCGTTGTAACGTCAAAGCTTGCAACATGAAACATCGACGTCTGCAGTTCTTTCTAGACGGATATACGTCATTATTGGAATGTAAATGGCATTTACTGATTTTCATATTTCTTGTGAGTTTTGTTATGACTTGGATTTTATTTTCGTTAATGTGGTACGGCGTGTACAATTGGCATCAAAATCAGAAACGTGACAACGCAGTGAATTGGAAACCATGTATTCTGAACGTGAAAAACTTCGAATCCATCATATTATTCTCCATTGAAACGCAGACGACGATTGGTTACGGATCACGTGATGTGAGTGAAGAGTGTTCGTTAGGAGTGTTCCTATTGGTTGTTCAGAGTATATTCGGTGCCATGCTGCATGCTCTGATAGCGGGCACCATTCTGGCAAAAATCCAGTCACCAGCAAAAAGAGCAAAAACTGTATTATTCAGCAAACAAGCTTGTATATGTTTGGAAAATGATGAATTGTGTTTCATGGTGCGTGTCGGGAATTTAAGACGATCTGAATTTGTGGGTGCTACCGTCCGTGCCTTGTTTCTTGCTCATAAACTAACGGCGGAAGGTGATTTCTTGCCCCATCACCTCCACGAGATGGCCATCAGTCTTCCAGAGAGCAAGGTTCAAAATCATTTATGGTGGCCAGCGACGATTATCCACCGCATAAACGAATCCAGCCCCTTGTTCGGGATTTCACCGGAAATATTAAAAGACTCGGATTTTGAAATTGTGATTTTGTTGGAAGGGGGGATCGCCTCAACCAGCATGGCCTTCCAAGGCCGGACATCATTCAAGCCAAGTGAAATCAAATGGGGCTATCGGTTTTCCCCCATGTTTGATCGCCGAAATCCATTCGGTTTGCATCATGAAGTGAATTTTGATCATTTTGACTCTGTCCGACTGGATGCTACGTCTCCGATGATGAGCGCTAGTGATTGGTACTATACAAGGAATCGCAACGCAGATAAGAATAACTTTATCCGCCAACGTTGCGTTTCTAACGGTTCAGTTTTGGCCATGATGTTGGACTAATCATGTAATTCACTGTGGTAATCGTTCAAACTCGCCATCTTTTGGAAGTCTTCATCTTCGCCTTTGAATCTAAAAACAATGCCAAGAGATGCAGCTCTCAATAAAATCAAGGGTATTAGCTTCGGGGAAGTATTTGAGATTCGGACTAGACATTTTGAATCATATTTATATTTGATAAATAAACGCACCCAGTTGATTCTGCTCCAATGTATATTAGATGATGCCTTGATTGCCGAAACCACGCAAAAAAAGGTGGCTGCGGTGCCGATACGAAACTATGTATGGTTCTTACTCGGAAACAACACACACGAACGTAGTTCACAGCCAGTCTGATAAAGGCTAGAATATTTCTACTCAGACGTCAAATCACATTTCAAGGTTTAGAAATGGCTTTAATATGACATGACGTCTTTGTAATTGAAATATTAGTCTGTTTTAAAAATTCGACGTATTAATTAAGTCGAGGTAGTGATTCAAAATGGTTGTGAACTACGTTCGTGTGTGTTATTTCCATGTAAGAATCAAGCGTCGTTTTGTATGCACTTAACCACTATAAATGAAGAATTTCGCTGCGCAATTTTGTCTGTTTTACTTGTAATAATCAATGGAGCAGTACGCCATTTTTTTACTACCCAAAGCAGACAAGCCATGTCATTTGATGGTAGCGCATTCAAGAGAATATAGGAAGAAACTGATGAGACTGTGGCTTTTCTTTTACTTGGCCCCGAAACAACAGATTAATTTTGCATGACAATACCTTAAGAAGCAAAATAAGAACGATCTACAGATCTTGGTCCCTCATTCAATTTAAACTGACAAGAGTGAAAAAGAAACCTGATGAAAATGGCCAGAAAAAGTGACAAATTAATTAGAATCTAATCTGGAATCTCTAGGCGCCATGTTGGATTTAAAAATATATTTTTTGTTCTTTTAATTAAAATTTTATACCTTACTTGGCTTTTTCTGGTAGTTAATAATTTACACGTGACATAGTTCGTGCCTTTCCAGATCAATCTAGTGGAAAGCAATCAGATTAAAATACACGTCTGTAAGATTCGCCATATATATTTGGCGAATGCTCAAGAGTCGCCATTTTAACTTTCAAACACGGATAATTCTGAACACGCATGGATTTGAAGGCTCAAATTTCGACCGTCAGCTATTACTATTACTGACTATAGCTCGGCTAATAAAATCCTGTTTCTGAGATTAAGTTATGACTGGTCAAACGGATGGTGAACCTGCCCCTACATATAACGTTTCGATATTTTCTGTGGATTGCTTCAGTCATACCATGACAACAGACATCGGATATCTCTGAAGGATGAGCATTCCCGCCCTATTTTTTTCTCTCGGGAGACAATCTGATTAAAATACAACTCTATATATTTCGTTTCGCTATTTTCTGTGGGTGACATCCGAGGTCCAAGAAGGATGAGCATGCCCAGTTGCGGTTCTATAAAGCATTAGGTGGTGGAGCTGAATAATCGTCGGGGTGGTGATTGAAACACAGCTCTTGACAATTCGTCTTATTTCGGTATTTTCCGTCCTTAACATCAATCAAACCATGTCTGGTAACAAAAAATATCGGATATCATTCGGGAGGATTTGTATTTCAATATGTTGCCAAATAATAATCTGCCCAAATTAACTCCTGATATCCTCTTAGCTACTGCGCTTTTTTATAGCTTCAATTACCTTGCTATAAAATCGAAGTCTCTAAACTGCATAAGGGGAGGTAACTTCATTTTTCAGACTATGATTAAGTGACAAAGAACACTATTAAGTTTATCGAGTATGGCTTATATCAAAGAAAAGAGAGCAGTGAAAGCCTAACTGGGGTAATACCCATACTGTGTATTCCCAATGACAATGTTGTGGCCTATATCAGATTTGATCGATGTTTGATTTTGTATCAAAAGTTTTTGTTATCTTTCAGATTTACTTCAAAGTAAGAAGGGGTGCGCATTATACTCGTAATTATACGTTTTATTTGTAGTACGGTCAGATCACCATAATCTTTATCAAATTTTTAAAAACAAACCAGTAAATTCCTGAGTATAATATTTGTTTATTTTTTCAATGGATTTTTATACAAAAACAGTTCATATTTATATTTTGAATAATAATTCTTATATATATCATGATTACCTAGTATATGTTGGAAGGTAAAACTTGGCATAATGCTTTATGTTTACATTCTGATTTATAAAATTATAACTACCTTGAATAACTTAAAGAGATTGTAAACAGGTTTTCAAAAATTGTTATGTGTAATGGAGACACTGATAGCATCAATTTGCACCATTCCAGTTTTCAATCAGACGTCTGTGCTTCTTGGAATTACACTAAAAATAACTGTTTGATAAATGTCACTAATTGCAAAGTGCCTTATGCGATCAAGCATATTTTGTGATTAGTGAAACAAACACTTAGTTTTAATGGAATTGCAGGAACAGATATCTGATTGAAAATTGGAATATGCGGTACACATACAAATTTTAGAAAACCTCTTTACAATACCTTTTAATTTAATATTGTGACCTTGGCATTTAGAGAGGGGTGACCATTTATCTAATAAATAGTAAACAATAATAATATTCATAAACATAAATTTAACATATAAGGAAAACAGACGTCAGCCTATATTAGGGCGGCAACAATCCTTGAAGCTGTGATTCGATACACCAAACCATACTCGACACTCGGAACATGACACAATTTCTTAAGCACACAAGGATTCTGTGTCATTTGTTATTAAAGGGGCTAAGAATTAATCGTGCCAATACATCACAATTATTTTTATCCAACGCAAGGCATCGATGAGAAGAAAAGAATCACGGTTCATTGATTCATCAGTGCAGCCCTAGTCTATATCCACCCTGAAAACATTACTGTGTAACTATAATCAGTCCTTGTAATCAATGTAATATAATATTCAATTTATAATTGATCAGCATTATAACAAATTGTTCTCATCACATGTTATAACCTTATAATCAGCATTTTAATAACACTATAATGAAATCATAATTATATCATTTGAAATAAATTTTACTTTTGATTTTAAGTTATATAATTCAGGAGCCTTACTCTCAAACATTTAACCTCAGATGATTTTAGTGTTCCTGTCCTCTGATTGGTCAATCACTAAAATAGATTTTAAATTAAGATTTTTTATCCAATCAGATTACTGTATTTCCTAAAAGTTTTGGAGAATAAGGCCTCATAATCTATAAACTAGGCAAAATATACTTAAAGAGTTAAAACCTAGCATACACTTTCAGTCAAAACTCTTTTTACAAAGTTGAAGACTGATAAAATGGATCACATGATAGCCATGTGGACTGTTTGTGTTTCTGAGTTGTTCCTATAAAAATGTATATCTGATTATAACATAATATTTATATTGTATAATGTATTAATAACTACACATATAAAGCCATGAGACATACATCATTGAGAGAGAATCCTTTTATTGATTATACATGGTGATTAAATGGATTTGTCTCCCTTGAATGCAATATCATAATGAATTTCGGATAAATGATATAAAAGCTTGGAGAATCGATCTAGTCAGGCTCTGATATAAATATAAATTTTTGATTTGGAATTGTTTTAAAACTGATGCTGCCAAAAACAAAAGACATAACACAGCAAATAGCCATGGATCTTTTTTGTAGGGAAATCTTTTGATTAAATTATTTTGTAAGTGGACTAACTCCAGACTGGTTATAAAAACAAGTTTACAAAGACTTAAATTCTTGGTATCTTATTTTTACTAAAATACACTCATAAATTTTGTATAATTTGAAAGAACAAGGGAACTAGTGGATTCTTTGAGCCACAAATTCAAAACCCTTGAAAAAAAACAAGTAATTCACAGTATTATAAGATACATGAACAGTTCTATACAATAATGGTATAAAAATTTGGTAACTAAAAAAAATTGTCTATACAAAATAAAACTATATAGAATTCATAACAAACATACAGTCTTTATTGGTTGGATTGTAAACATATTGTACCTTGAACAGGTTAATTGACACTATGGGCTCAAATTTTCAGAACTTAAAAATCAGAATCAGTAGAATAAGTAAAATATATCTATTTTGTGATATTCATACAAGTGGGGCGAGTGAGACTTATTCTCAAAAACCTAACATAACACCATTTTACTGATCCTGTTTAATTGACTATATACTAATGAATCATATTACAGTATTTCTAAAATTCTCTATATTAGGTCTGATGAAATTCAGCATTAGTTCATTTTTAACCTGTATTGTACTCGCATATCTTTGTTGAATTTGAGATCCACTATGAGAGAACTGTGCAGGAAAAGTGATTAAGGTAGGGCCTGCTCACTCTTCAGCAACACCTATAGCCATTCTGAAACTGGTGTTCTAAACTTGGCATACCTTTTATGGCCATGTATGTCAATGGACAGTTCCAAAAGAAGATGTTTTAAAGATGATTTTGGTGTTTGCGGAATGAGATGAGCTCTAGTCTAAAAAAGCTAAAATATCTAATATTGTTTATTTGGTATTCTATTGCTATCCAACCAATAAAAACAAAAACACAACAACAACATACAATTCACATATAAAAGATTTTCATTCTAAAAATGGCTTCTACATTTATATAAAACTGAAATTTCGGATAAAATATAAAAATTTGATTTTTAGATGCATAATAATTAATAATAAAACTTTACATCACAACACTAAGATTTACCTCCCTTTAAAACATTTTAGCTTAAGTTTAAGATGGGTGCCTGTTTTTCAATAATTCCATGGGCATAATCATTACAGAGATATTTTTCTAGCCCTTATAAGTATTGTATCTTACAAAAGAGCACCCATCTTTTTCTTTCATCTTTCATTCTTTAAAATTCAATGCCCTTTAGCAGCAGATTATAAATAGGTTTAAAAATTTAACATATATCAGCATTTTTATTTGATGTTAATATTTGACTTCATTGATTCTTTTGATCAACATAAATTTGCAAATTTAGTCATATCAAAATCAAATTTTTCATGACAATTTCCTCAAAGCCACAATTCATTTTGAAGATGGTAAATCGGCACTATTCAAACATATAACGGCACTATTTTTATCACGTCACAAAATCAGTACGCCAGCAAGAATTACTCCATTCATTGGAAAATAGTTCTTAGATTTCAACAGTAACTTGAACTATACTTCATATCCCACATATATCATTACGCACTCAATACAGTACACCTTCTATATACAATATAACAACCTAACAACACCCATCATAAAAATTGCTGATATCCTTCCGCACCAGTGAATATAACGTCTATCCAAATTCCCATCGCCTCTGGCGTAGGAGCCACAAGAAAATAGGTCCTATCATATGTCTTCACACAAAATGTTAATTTCGGATTTGGACTTTTAACTGTCCGTAAATGGTCTACATACACTTCTTCAATTGCTTGAAAATAAATTCCTCCGCGTTGCTTAGTTTCAGTTTTATCACCATAGTACGTTAGTGATCGTTTTAAACGATCAAACACAAACCATCGTTTATGCCACGTTTTGAATTTATTTCCCATTTTATGTAAGAAACCACGGCAACTGTTAGCTGTCACTATCACATGAGAGCAAGCCTCGACATGATGTCCCGCGGATTCTATATGCTGGCGTAAATCAAATTCCTTGTTTCTGATTGGTAGATATCTGGTTAAAGGACGAGCCTGGAAAAGAGCAAAAAAACTGACTTAAATTGAGGAACACATTAGTATGAAGATTCTTGACCAACAACGAATTGACAAAAGTTTATCTTTTTAGCAAAGTAATCTTACTCTTGGGAGAGAATCGTGAAGAAACTATGAGTTTATCAATAATGAACAGTATGAAGATTTGAACTTAAATTAAGAAGACTAGCTGAGTGTGAAGCAAGATACATCACTAAAGAGAAAGATAAAAACAATGGAACCATCAATCTGCAGTGCACAAAATCTTGATTGAAATTTCATTGCTCACAGCTGTTAATCAGCAGAGGAAAATGAAAATGAAATGAATAGAGTTTTACGTAGCACTCTTCTGCACCTGAATGGACATTCGGTAATCAGCAGAGGAAGAGAACTTATTGAACAGAAGTTTGACATAGTTCAGATATCCTACCTGTTGGCGTTGTTTTTCGCGTAATTTGACCTGTTGATTAATTATTTCTTCTCGTAATCTGGTTTCTTCCTGTAACTTTCGTTCCAATTCTTCTCTCCGTGATCTTTCTTCATGTAGCGCCGACATCTCAACTTCACGGAACTGAACCTGAAACATAGACACCAACAGTTCAATTTGATAGATATTAAGGAATCTCAGTTCTTAACAGAGACTTCCAGGACACAGACGTGAAAACCAGGACATACAGGACAGTACCTCACTTCACAAACACCACAAAAATAAAGATTACAGTTACAGATATCAAAATTTCAATTATAATAATGTTCAGTATCAGAGCTTTAAGAAATGTTGGTAACAGTTTTTTTGTTTATGTGTAACAAAATAACATAAAATGATCAACATTTTCAATATACGTGTAACTTCATCATTATAAACTGAAAGGCGAAAGATGTATCATGTATCTTTATATTCAATTACTTATATATGTAAGTACAGAAATTGGAGAAAGACAGTGTGAAATAGACTTTAAGACCAAAAAGAAACAGTAGAATGTTAAAGGAGTTTAATGACCACAGAACATGAAACCCCCATTGCGATGTCTGTCTGTTTTTTATTAAAGTATTTCAAAAGTGACATTTCATTTATCTTTCAGTACATAGTCAATAAACATGTCCCTTGTGCCTTGCCTGTCCCCTAATATCAACATCCTGTCTTCACCCACACAACTAATATCTATAACCAAATCAATTATTGATCATCTATAATATGTTTTTGATGTTTGTCTAAAATCAATAAAGACTATGTATAACAAATGACTGGTCTATGTTTGTTTACTCTTGGATTTAAAAACAATAAATACCAAAAACCCAGTCAGATGTTTATGAGCTCTATTCTGATAGAGCTGGCTGAATTTTAAAGAATCAAAATAAGTCATGATTGATAATGTAACCTAATCATCAATTCTGACTACCATGCTTTTTAAACGTAATCTATCAGGAATCGAAATCAGAGTTTTTAATCCTACTTTTCTGAATCTGTTCGGCCTCAGGGCCATAAAACATTTCTCATGCTCGGCCGAGTTTTTACTCAAATCTAACATGCCCCATGAACCAAGGAAAGGTAAAATTTGAAGATTAATGTGATGCCAGAAGCATTGTTCAGTAAGAAATAATTTGATATATTTTATTTTCTTTGATATAATCAGTTATATACACCTGTAATAGCTGCTTCTCACATAAGTAAAATATCAGGTAAGTATAAAAAAAGGGTTTGTGGCAAGCAATGCTATGCAGTGTGCAATGAGATATATTTTACTCGGACCATCCTCTTTTTCAATTTCAACTATTAAGGGATTTTGAACTTTGATAGCCTGTAGCACACAGGGCCACTGTTTGTTGTCCATTTCAAACAGTTAAACAATTTTTTAACATGTCAGGCCCTCTGACCTGCATCACTGACAGGCGGAACTCGAATTTGAAGGTTTTATCTCAGCCTATGCAGGGATTGAACCCTAGACTTTTACATAAGAGAGCAGGCATCTTTCTCACTAAGAAAAAAATCACAAATCTAAACAAGGCAAACCAAGTTGAAATCAAAATCCAATGTGACTGGCTAATCAAGAACCCTGATTAACATATAACTGTAGTCAGACATTACTGAAAAATACAACCAAATCAACAGCTTTCACTAGCACCAAACTTTTAAATCCTATTTTTTTATGAATCCAATTCAGACATGACTGGCTACAGCAGCCTTCTCAAGATTAAGAGAAGCTGCAGCTGTAGTCAGAAATTATTGGTAAAATTAAACAAATAAACACTTCAGACTAGAATCTCCCTATAGTTTTTTATGAATCCAATTCAGATGTAACTGGCTTATGCAGACTAAAATCAACCCTGCTTAACAGAAAGCTATTAAATAAAATAACAATAGCTAGGTGACGAGGAGATTGAGAGATAGTTCTAGTGAGTCCACAAGTTATCATAATGGGGGTGGAGGAAATGTCAAGAGGAACGTGTGAGAAGAACACACATGGACACCGGAACTTCTAAATGGTTTCTATTTCCTCTTATTTTCCCAGTCAACATGACCAGTTGACAGAAAATCTCAGAACTCAGAACTGTTATTGACATCTTCACTAAATATTGACGTGTTGACACCACGATTGACGTGTAAATGGACTGAAGAAGCCACGAAGATTTGTCAAGTATTGTTGAAGCGATCTTTGGTCCATTTCATCCAAGTATTTCACCAACATGTCATATTCAGACAATCAGGATTCCATTATTCTAGTAGAATGACAGAAATACAAAAAAAAACGTGAATATCTGTTGTGAAATGTGCAGTCTTATGAAAATTAGTTCAAACCTTCCTTCTGTATCATATTGGCTTTAATTTTTTAACACTCATCTGCTTGATGATATCAACAGCCAATCAAATTTTAAGCAAAATTTTCTTAGCGATTGTGACATCAGTGGCCATCAAAAAAAAAAAAAAGAATTGCAACTGTTTCACTTTTTGAATTGAATTTATCCTTTCTCAAACATTAAATTTCTTTTTGTTTCCCTTATATCTTTCTATAATGTGGCCATAAAAACTCAAAGAAAAATGCCAGCCAAGATTTTTTTCTTATCTTTTAAATGACTGCAAATGAACAATTAAACCACGCATTCAGATATTTAAAATGAAAGTAGATACGACTTCCTGTACAGAATTTTACAAGTTAATGACCTGACGGTTACCTTGACGATCTGATCTGACATCAAAGTGCACTTTTTTGCAAAATAAAATGACCTTTTAAAGATTTCATATAGAGGAAAGACCAAAGCTTTGTTGCTGGGTATTGATAAGCCATAAAACTGTTTTATATTTTCAACATATCACAAACAGGAAAATGAAATTGTTCAAAATAGCAGCTATAAGAGTCCATGCAAACGTACATAAAACAAACATTAACCTCTTTTGATGCCTTTTAAATGACAATATTGACCCATCAACACATATAAAAAGAACAAGGCAATGATCAACATAGAAAAACTAGGTTTGAATGCATTCAGTGTAATTCTATGAACAGGTCTCATCTGCCAGAAATCGTGGGTTGCCAGGATAATTGGCCACAGACCACTACTTTGTTTTATAGACCATGATCATTTCCTCCTCTTAATCTATTGTCAATCCGTTCTAATCTATCAATTCTATTTTTACTTGTCCTTATTCCACATCTAATCCTTTTAATCAGACAGTTATTTCCAGTACTTGATTGCTCTAATGAAAAGTTCTTCATTGAATCCCTCTTTAATCAAAATTTCTGAATACCAGGATAAGAGTGCGCTGATGTATTTGGTATTTTTAAAGGAAATATCTCAAAAAGTTTTAAAGCAGGGTTTTAACTTAACAGTTCCTTACTTAATATTTAGAGGAGAATATCCCTTTAAATGAAAGGGAAATATTTTGATGATTTCTAGATGGTGATATACCTTGAAAGATAACTCAATTCCTATTCAAACGTATCTTCACAATGTCAAGCTATTACGAACTGCAATGGCCGCATTTCTTGTTTCACAGAAAGCAGCGCTTTGATTGGATTGTACGCTAGCGAATAAAGTCAAGCAGAGCTCTTGATAGAAAGTCTATATATCAACAATAATCTTAATGTTTACGTTCTTTCTGTTGAGGATGCTGATTGGCTGGATTGACTGTATATACTTACGTACAATCTATTCAAATCGCTGCATTTACTTCTCTGATACAAGAAAGGTGGCTATTGCAGTCAAGGTAATAGTACAAATTGCGTAATAGATTGACATTGTGAAGATGAAGTTCATAATAGCTTGACATTATGAAGATGATTCAAATGAAGTTCATGAAAGTCAAGAACCTAGATTACAGTGAATCCTATAATTGAGTTAATTTATAGTTGAGCGTGATGTCAGAAACATCATAAATATTACAACAATGGCTTCCGCGTCTGACAGATTCAACTTGAAACAGAAATAAATTTTAATGTTAAGGAGCAGCTCATATTGTCAAACATTGTTTGAAATAAATATACCAAATAAATATTGATAGCGTTGTAGACTCTGCAAAAAGTGCCAAGTAGACAAATCAAGTCAAAAAAGTGCAGAGTGACACAGATGAAGATGTTACCCCTAAATGCCACGGTACTTATTGCGATGAACCTCAATTCAATTCAGTCTTTGAGCACCATTTTAAACATAATTTAACAACCTCTCATGAGTCTCAAGCGTGAATTTTATCGTTAATTGGTTTAAAAATAAAATTTGTTTTAAAAACAAATTTTTAAAATAACTTTGCATAGCTGGAAGTCTAGTAGGTTTTTTAGATCTTCTTAACTAAAAAAAAAAACAGATGATTTTTGGGTGTACTACGATCTAAATTCATGCCCTTGGCGTTACTTCCTTATGATTTTTGAGAAAGAGAAATATATTTAGTAATTAAATATTCTTACCTGCTCCTCTACAAGGCGTAGTTTATCTGACTGAGCCTGGGCCAGTAATCTCTCTAGCTCAGCTAACTTTTCTAAATGGTCTTCCCCACTACTAACACTGTAAATATACAATAATAACATTGTCATTTCATTTATTAAGTTCTATCTATTAAAATAGATGTTAGAAAAAGTTGAAAAATTTGATACAATTTTACAGATTGTTTTGTTATGTGAAAGTATTTAACATGTAAATTGTAATATAATACATTGTAAATCATATAAGACAGTGTTAAAATTTGTACCCAATGTATAATGAAATTTGGTGTAGTCGCAAAAAATGATCAAGAAGATTCTTTAAATTGTGTTAACCTGTATTTTGTATATTGTAAATCATATAAGACAGTGTTAAATCTGTACAAAACATATATAGAAATTGGTGTTGTTGCTTACAATTTCTTTTAAAAAATGATTAATAAATGTGTTTCGCGTTTTGTTAAAGCTAGTTTTGTTATATGAAAGTATGTAACCTGTATTGTGATATATATGGTAAATTATCAGATTTTCAATTGTACAAAATATATCATATTGAAATTGGTGTTGTTGCAAAAAACATGTTTCACATTTGGTTACAGCTAGTTTTGTTATATGAAAGTATGTAAGTCGTGATATAGTATATTGTAAATTATCAGAGTTTGTCATATAGTGTTAT